AGATGAGCCACACAGCAGCATGTGAGTAACCAAATCTGCAATCTAGGAAGTTTATCGAATACATTCAACTTTCCAAGTGAAATGATACCCATTCAAACTCCAATGCGCCAGCCCATTAACATACATCAGGCCCTTTCTGATTCCTCTGGAAAATAAACACTCATCTATTTCATGAGCAGAGCCAGCTCCATCACAAACCTGCACGTCCCTCCTCTCACATATGTCATACTTGTGCTTTTGCTTAGAAAGAACAATGATTTGTTCTTTGCTGGGTGTTTGATCCAATTTAAAAAGTCTGATATCCTGGGGTCTCGATTCTATTCCATTGATCTGTGTGTCTGTTTTTGTGCCAGTACCATGCTGTTTCGGTTACTATAGTTTTGTAGTATATTTTGAAGTCAGGGAGTGTGATACCTCCAACTTTGTTCTTTTTCCTCAGGATTCCTTTGGCTATTCAGGGTCTTTTGTTGTTCTATATAAATTTTAGGATTCTTTGTTCTATTTCTGTGAAAAACGTTGTTGGAACTTTGATAGGGATTGCATTGAATCTGTAGATTGCTTTAGGAAGTTTGGACATTTTAACGATGTTAATTCTTCCAATCCAAGAGCATGGAATATCTTTTCATTTCTTTGTGTCTTCTTTGATTTCTTTCAACAATGTTTTATAGTTTTTGGTGTACAGATCTTTCACCTCTTTGGTTAAGGTTATTCCTAGGTATTTTATTCTTTTTGTTGCAATTATAAATAGGATTGTATTCTTAATTTCTCTTTCTGCTACTTTGTTGTTAGTGTATAGAAATGCAACTGATTTCTCTATGTTGATTTTGTATCCTGCAACTTGACTGTATTCATTTATTGTTTCTAAAAGTTTTTTTAGTGGATTCTTTAGGGTTTTCTATATATAAAATCATGTTGTCTGCAAAAAGTGACAGTTTCACTTCTTCTTTTCCAATTTGGATCCCTTTTATTTCTTTTTCTTCCCTGATTGCTCTGGATAGGATTTCCAATATTATGTTAAATAAGAGTGGTGACAGTGGGCATCCTTGTCTGGTTCCTGTTCTTAGAGGGATAGCTTTCAGTTTTTCTCCATTGAGAATGATATTAGCTGTGGGTTTGTCACATATGGGCTTTATTATGTTGAAGTATTTTCCTTCTATACTCATTTTATTTAGAGTTTTTATCATAAATGGATGCTGTATCTTGTCAAATTCTTTCTCTGCATCTATTGAGATGATCATGTGATTTTTATTCTTCATTTTGTTAATGTGGTGTATCGCGTTGATTGATTTGCAGATGTTGAACCATCCCTGCATCCCTGGAATGAGACCCACTTGATTATGATGTATGATCTTTTTAATATATTGTTGTATTCAGTTCGGCAGTATTTTGTTGAAGATTTTTGCATTGATGTTCACCAGTGATATCGGCCTGTAATTTTCTTTTTTTGTGTCCTTTTCTTTTTCTTGCCTGGTTTTGGTATCAGGAAAATGTTGGCTTTGTAGAATGAGTTAGGAAGCCTCTCCTCCTGGTCAATTTTTTGGAAGAGTCTGAGAAGGATGGGTATTAAGTCTTCTTTGAATGTTTGGTAGAATTCACCAGGGAAGCCATCTGGTCCTGGACTTTTATTTTTTGGGAGGTTTTTGATTGCTATTTCTATCTCCTTACTGGTGATTGGTTTATTCAAATTCTCTACTACTTCTTGGTCCAGTTTTGGAAGGTTATGTTTCTAAGAATTTATCCATTTTATCCATCAAACTAAAAAGCTTCTGCACAGCAAAGGAAACCAACAAAACGAAAAGACAACTTAACAATTAGGAGAAGATATTTGCAAACCATGTATCAGATAAGGGATTAATATCCAAAACATACAAAGAACTCATAACATCTCAACAACAAAAAAACCAATGAGCCAATTAAAAAATGGGCAAAATATCTGAACAGAGATTTCTCCAAAGAAGATATATGGATGGTCAACAGGCACATGAAAAGATGCTCCACATCATTAGCTATCAGGGAAATGCAAATCAAAACTACAATGAGCTATTACCTCACTCCGGTCAGAATGGGTATAATTAACAAGACAGAAAACAACAAGTGTTGGAGAGGATGTGGAGAGAAGGGAACCCTCGTACACTGCTGGTGGGAATGCAAACTGGTGCAGCCACTATGGAAAACAATATGAAGCATCCTCAGAAAATTAAAAACTGATCTACCATGTGATCCAGCTATTCCACTGCTGGGTATTTATCCAAAGAACTTGAAAACACAAATGCATAAAGATACATGTACCCCTATGTTCACTGCAGCCTTATTCACAATAGCCAAAACTTGGAAGCAACCTAGGTGTCCATCAAGGGACGAATGGATAAAGAAGATGTGGTATATATATACACAATGGAATACTACTCAGCCATAAGAAATGATGAAATCTGGCCATTTGTGACAACATGGGTGGACGTTGAGGGTATTATGCTAAGTGAAATAGGTCAGAGGGAGAAAGTCAAACACCGTGTGATCTCACTCATAAGTAGAAGAGAAAAACAACGACAAACAAACACATAGCAACAGATACTGGATTGGTGGTTACCGTTGGGGAAGGGAGGAGGGGAGAGGGCGAAAGGGGTGATTAGGTTCACATGTGTGGTGATGGACTATAATTAGTTTTTGGGTGGTGAACATGATGTAATCTACATAGAATTCGAAATATATTACTATGTACATCTGAAAACTATACAATGTTATAATCCAATGTTACTGCAATTAAAAAAAAAAGTCTGACATCCTATAAACCAAACTGTGCTGAGTGCAAAGGGAGGGAGAGAGTCACTCTTTATTTTGTTCTAATAGGCAATTATCCTGACAGCTGTAAGCTGGATGGGTGTATCCTGACGACTCTGGAGGAAGAAGACATGATCAGGCAAAAGTGGGATCTTCCAGGCCACAAGTGGAAGCCACTGCTTCCAGTCACGAAGGTGAGCGTGGTGGAGCATCCGCCAGGCCGGCCCCCGACCTGGGCCACTTCACTCAGCTTCGCTTCCCAAGGGTTGTGATACACCTCCAGACCTTCTGCTCAGTAACTAGTTTAAGTTAAACTGCTCAGTTTAACTTAAAAATCATGTCTGTGCATTTATATAATAAAAAGATAGGCTCTATTTTTTCATACTTTTGCATTTCTAACAATCAAATTTTATTTTAAACCATCATGTGCAAAAGGCAGAAACAGTCCTGCATTGCTTAACAACAAGGAAGCGCTCTGAGAAATGCATCGTTTGGTGATTTCATCGTTGTGCCAACTTCATAGAGTGCACTTACACTAACCTAAACGGTCCAGCCTACTACATATCTAGTCCGTATGGTACTAATCTTATGGGATCACTATCATATATGTGGTCTCTCTAGCACATTTAAAGCTATAATGGTGTGTCTACTCAGATGGACACTGAGATAATCCAGAAGCGCTTTCTTTTATCAAGTAGGAGGAAAGTCATTTGCAGGTCAGAGGGTGGGGTGGGACTGCTCCCACGCAATGATGGGTGACGGCCATCATGGTGACGTACAGCACTGTACGTGGCCCAGATGGGCTGACTCACCCAGTGCAACCCCACTAGAGATCTGCTGGTAGAGAAAGGATGCCCAGATAATGCTGACGTGAACGCTCAGATCCCCGTGATGTTTGTTGTTTTTCATAGTTAACTTAGAGGACAAACTGATATGAAAAAGAAAGAATCAGGCATGTTGGTGCATCATTACAGGGGCCTCTACGTCTGCCTCTCTTTCAGCTATCTCCAAACAAAAGTCACTTGTTTGACAGCCTGACCCTGGAGCTCCAGGACGTCATCACTCACGTGCGGTTCACCATCTCTCCGGACGGGGGCGTGAGCCGCCTCCGCCTCAAGGGCTTCCCCAGCTCCATCTGCCTCCTGCGGCCCAGGGAGAAGCCCATGATGAGGTTCTCGGTTAAGGCGGGGTTCAGGGCAAACCTTTAATCCCAACAAAACCGTGTGCTGGTTCCATAATTACTCATACTTTTATTTTGAAGTAGTCTGAACACCTGAACCTTAAGAAGTTTCTAGCAATTAATCTTTTTAAGATTAATATAATTCCTGGTGATTTAATAAAGTGGTCACTCACACATTGCTATCTGTATCTAATGTTGCTATGAAGCGTTTGGTAGTTTAAAAATTGGCTGTGACTGTGAATGGGAGGTGGTTTCCTAAAGAATTCCATTTTTTTTTAACAGTACAAGATCTTAGTATTTATAGTATAATCTATACCGTCCGTCTGTAGATTCAGCAGGTAACACATAGCCTGTTGTCTTTAAAAATTTAAGCCTATCAAAACCATTGGAAAAATGTATTTCTAGAACCATTCATTGTCCAGCTCAAGAGGATTGGCCTATCTTTACCCAGAATAGAGAATGGCTTTCTCAAGGACACATCCCCCCTTGAATGGTTCTTCCCCTAAATAAAGGTGCATTCTGAATGTTAAACCTTTGAGATACCACGTGCTAGCTGTGCCTAGTAACCCAGTTTCTCACAAGCTCTGAATGGTTCCAGACAGTTCCTCCTCCATGCAGTTTTGATTCTCAAGATGGTCCTGATGCCCCCTCCCCCAGTCCACACCCCAACCTCTTCTGCACAGGCAGGTGCCAAGCGTAGCCGCAGGGTTTGCAGTGGCGCCTGGTGGATCCTCCACCTCCTCCCACCCCTGCCACGTTGGCAGCAGCCACTGCCTCCCTTCCGTTCCACGAGCTCTGCTGCCTTCACCTGTCTAGGCTCTCTGATGCCCCCTCAGCTGTCCTGGCTCTCTGATGCCCCCTCAGCTGTCCTGGCTGTCTGATGCCCCCTCACCTGTCCTGGCTCTCTGATGCCCTCTCACTTGTCCCAGCCCTGCTCTCCCCTCACCTGTCCGGCCCGCTGCCCCTCTCCCGGGCGGGTCGGCGACAGGCAGCGGTCACAATCGCCGGGTGGCGTCAACACAGGCGGGGAGCGCCAGGGACCCGTGCGCCCGGGCAGCTGCAGTCCTGCACCCCTCGCGCAGCGCGCCCTGGCCGGTGCCCGCGGGCGGTGGAGCGTCTGCTGTCCTCGCGGCCATGGGCACGCGCGGGGTCCCCGCGCTGGTGGACACCACGCCCGCCAAGACCATCCTGGTGTACCGCAACGGGGACCCGTTCTACGTGGGCCGCCGCGTGGTGCTGCCGCGCCGCCGCGCCGCCACCTTCGAGGCGCTGCTGGAGCAGCTGACGGAGCAGGTGCCGGTGCCGTTCGGGGTGCGGCGCCTCTTCACGCCGACGCGCGGGCGCCCGGTGCTCGAGCTGGCCGCGCTGCAGGCCGGCGGCAAGTACGTGGCGGCCGGCCGCGAGCGCTTCCAGAAGCTCGAGTGAGTGCGGCCCCTGCGCCCGGGCTCGCGGGGCGGACGCGGGGCGCGGGACCCTTCTCTGTCCCGAGCGCGGTGACCTGTCCTGTTCGCACAGGGCGGGGATGTGCCCTCGGGCCGAGCGCCGCCCGCCCTTGACGCGCGGGCACTGCCCCCGGGGGTCCTCGTGCGGGCGGTGCACCCGGGCGCCCGGCGGTGGGGAGGGCGGCCGTCTGCCATCACCACGACCTGCGCACGTCAGGGAACGTTCGAAGGGGATGGAAAAGGGGGTGGCGGGCCGTGGCGATGACCAGAGGTTGCTCGGGGTAGGCCTCTTTGAAAAGGCGTCCCCTGCACGAAGATCTGAAGGAAGAAGGGAGCGAGCCATGCGGACGGAGGAAAACTGGGGGAAGCAAGCTGAAGAGTGGGGATCAACTCCGGCCACCCCTCCACGGCGTGTGCAGAGACGGCTGTTCCGGGGTCGCTGGCCGTGCAGTCTATGAACGCACTTAATGAAGGGTGTAAATCCAGCCTTTTCACCGCTGGCTCTTCTGCTAGACTGTCACCCTACAGAGGACAGGCGTGATCTGTAATCCTGGCACGTGAAGCAGCGCTGGCGTACAGTACAGTCTCTGAACGCTGGCCAGGAGCAAAGAAATGCCCTCCCCAGGGTCTGCTGCGATCAAGACGGCAGCCCCGGAGCCACGTGCTCTGCCCGGGGGACATAGCCTATGTATAAAGGCCAGGGCCACTGCAGAAAGCCATAAGCGAAGTTGGCTGGTCATATTCAGGCTGCGAGTTGTGCTGGAGGGTACCCACTCGATATGCCCATTTAATCCTCCCTGGTTAGCCTGGGACTGGTATTGCAATCCCTTTGAGATCTTTTTGCCTCTGGGCTTATACAACACTGTTCTGCTTGTACTCTTACTTTTCTTCCTGGGAGTACCTCAGTCTCCTAATTTCTCTAAACTTTCTTGGTAACTGTCATTATAAAATTTCTTTGCAACCTGGACCACAATCTTGAAGTTCTTCACAAATAGCTGCTGTGCGCTTCTTCAAGTCGGGCAGCCTCGGGTGCTGCAGAGGCAGCGAGGGCTTCATAGTGTATGTTTTGGGGAGATAAAAGACAAACAAAAAAGAAATTGGTAATACTATGACAGAAGCACAGGTTTAATTCTGTCTAGGTGCAGGACCTCAGAAAAGGCTCCCTTTACTAAACGGAAGTGGGTCAACTGTTCCTTAATCCTCCATGAATTCCTGACCTGCCTTAGCATCACCTACTTCCTGTGTCTGCTTTTAAAAGAAATTATTCCTGTTCTTTACATTGTTGCTAACTCCATTTCTTTTATTGTGAAATATATCATATATACAGAAGAGCGGATACAATCTCTGTATAGTTTCAAGAATAGTAATAAAGCAAAGCTCTGAGTAAACCACAGCCCCGATTAAGAAAAAGCGTTACCAGTATTTTAAAAACCTCCTACCTCCACCCCTATCCTTTGCCCATAGGTAACCACTATTTTGGCTTCTGTAACAATCATTTTTTTGTAATAATCTATCCCTGAAGGATAGATTTTTTTCAACACTTTATGTTTGTATACTTTATATAAATGCAATTATATTGCATTTTTTTGTTACTTACTTTTTCACACATTAATATGCTTGTGAGACTCATCCATGTTAAAGCATGTAGCTGTAGGTCATTCATTTTTACTGTTATTATTTCATTGACTAATATACCAGTTTATTTATCCAATCTGTTGATGGGTAATTTGGGTTGTTTTTAATTTTATGCTAAAATAAGCATTCTGCTGTAAACATTCTTTTGCATGTCTTTTGCATATGGGTAAGATTTTCTCTAGGAGGGTGTGTTAGCTATTTATTGCGTAACAAATTACCCCAAGCTTATTGGCTTAAAACAATGTTTATTGTCTCATAGTTTCTATGATCAGGAATTCCCGAGCAGCTTAGCTGAGTGTTTCTGGCTCAGAGACTCTCCTGAGGTTGCAATCAAGACGCTGGCTGCAGTCATCTGAAGGCCTCACTGGGGTGGGTACTTCCAGGCTCACTCATGTGGCCATGGCAGGAAGCTTCATCCTTGCTGTGTGAGCCTCTCCACAGGTGGCTTAGCAGCTGGCTCTCTGCAGTGGGAGTGATCCAGGCTGAAGCCACGATGTCTGTTGTTGCTGCTGGTTCTCTGTTATGCTGTCTTCTCTCTCCATCTGCCTAGTTATCTTTGACTGTGTGCTGGATATTACCTTTAAAACTTATTTGCAGAAATAATTTGAGGCCTAGGATGATAGTATCTTTTGCCAAAGTGGATTTTTGTATGCTTCAGCCAGGTACCTGTATCATCACGAGTTCATGATCATCTTAACACAGTTTCAGAGTGTGCGATAGTTTGGACCACCCAGATGGCTTGAAGCCAGGATGCTCCCTACCCTGGGTGCAGCCCTGTGGGGTCCCAGTTCACAAAGAGGGGTAGCTCACAAGGACCCCTGTTGTTGGTGGGCCCTGAACAGGGGCTTTTGCCTCAGTCTGTCAAAAACATGGTTCAGCCTCTTAGCTCTCTCTTCCTAACTGACAATAACCCCTGGGCCAAAGAGGCCCCAAATAGCAGGCTCATGTCTCTGGATTTCCCTTCTTTCCTGGAGCTTGGCCTGATAATCCCTCACTATCTTGTTAGATGTCTTATGTTTCAAAAAATTGTTTTTTGTTGATGCTGGCCCGGTGGTGTAACGGATAAGTTTGCACGCTTTGCTTCAGCAGCCTGTAGTTCCCCGGTTTGTATGCCGGGTGCAGACCTGTGCATTGCCTATCAAGCCGTGCTGTGGCAGCATCCCACATATAAAATAGAGGAAGATGGGCACAGATGTTAGCTCAGGGCCAATCTTCCTCAAGAAAAAAAAACCTTTTTTTTGTTTTGTCCAACTTTATTAGTTTTTAGTGAAGGGTTGATCAGTGTTGCTTAGTCCATGGTTCCCAGAAGCACGAGTCCTCTCTCCCTTGTTCTTCATGTACATTTATGTTGCACGTGTGATTCTGTGGATGACCATCCTTCAGTCCATGAAAGGTGTTTTTCCATTGTCTTCTAACTTAGAGGTTGCTGATGAGAAACCAGCTGTCATTCACTTCTTTGAAAGTACTATTTTATCTTTTTTGGCTGTTTATTTTTGGCTATTTAAAATATCTTCTCTTTGACTTCAGTGTACTGGAGTTTAAGTGATATGTCGAAGTGCTGATTTATTCAATTCCCTTGAGTCTCTGGTGTGGTAGCTTTCATTCGTTTCGGGAAGTTCTCAGCCATTGTCTCTGCAGATGATGCCTCTGCCTTCTGCGTTCTCTGTTTGCGTTCTGGATCTGAGTCCATCTGGGTGGGCCTGTCCCATTGGCTCCGACCTCCAGGGGGCCTCCTCTTTTTCATGTATTTCTCTTTGATCTTTGTGCTCACCTCTAGGCACTTTATTCCTGTAGATCCTCTGGCTAGCTTTTCTGCTGTGTATATATAACATGCTATCAAAGCAATTCATTGTTTTAAATTTAATTATTTTGTTTTTCATTTCTAAAATTTATATCTGGTTCTTTTTCAAATGTTCCATGTTACTGTTTCCAGTTTCTTGGTCCTGCGTGCATTTTCAAGCTTGCCTCTTGGGGAAGTAGTGTCCTTTTCTGGTCCATGTCTACACTCCCACTGTTTGAAACCTGTTTCTGCTCTCTGTTATTTCAGCTGGATTTCTCTCATGGTCCTGTCTATCCTTGTTAGTTTACTTATTTTTTGACTGTGAATGACTCCTTTTCTATGGAATTTTATTTGGGGAAATTCTTTGTGGGCTGAGATAAAGGTGAGACTCTCCAGAAAGGATTTCCACTTTCTTCTTCCAAACAGTGGGCATGCTCCCTAGCCAAAGATATTCTGAATTAAATGAGTAGCTTGAGTTTTTTTGGACCACCCAGATAGTGTGATTTGGGGAGCTAGCTGGCTTGGGATCCAGATTCTTAATGACATTTGCAAAGATGCAAACTTACCATCCTATTGTTTTTGAAGAAAAATTGTAAGTCGCAGACATCATAGTTGCTAAGAGGTAAAGTTTGGGTTAATATGAGATTTTAGATTTAAATTTATTACTATGGTAATCCTGTTATGTATGAGAATTCACTGACAAGAATATCTTTCTTTGTAGATGTTTGATTTTGTGATTATTTTTTCAGGGTTATTTACTGCATGCTAGAGACCGAATGTCTGTGTCCTCCCGAAATTCGTAGGTTGAAACCAAACCCTCCATGAGATGGAACTGGGAGGTGGGGCCTTTGGGTGGTGATTAGGTCATGAGGTTGGTGTCCTCATGAATGGACTTGGTGTTCTTACAAAAGACACCGCAGAGAACACCCTCACCTGTTCCACCATGTGAGGAAGCAGCGAGAAGACAGCTGTTTGTGAACCAGGAAGCAGGTCCTCACCAGGTGCTGTGATCTTGAACTTCCAGGCTCCGGCACCGGGAGGCACGTTTGTTGTTTAAGCTGCCCAGGCTGTGGTGTGGCTGTTGCTGCAGCCTGAACACACTCAGACGCTGCTTATGCTGGATTCTGATTCTGTAGCAGTGTCCAGTGTTGTTTTGCAACAACAGAAGAATACGTTTCGACAAAAATTGACTTCAAAATCCTTTTCCATATGTGAATGATGAAAACTATTTAGTTTTCCCCCCAAAACATTTCCTTGTAAGCGTGGCACATCTTTTATATGTGAGCAGATGAGGAAGGAACCTGTGAGGCGCTGGCTCTCATTCCTGGAAAGGGCTCAGCGGCGGCTGCTCTTCCCTCTTTCCTGAGGTCAAGAGAGTGTCTGATAGACCCTGGGAGCCCTCGAATTTTGTAGAGAAATTTTCAGAGTTTAGTTAAAATGTTTTGGACTTGTGGCAAAAATATTGAAAAAAACTTTGGGGTGTTTCTCTTTGCAGATTTCTTAACATTTAGTATTATTTTCTGTAAGGAAGGACACGTGATCCAGTTCCCTGAGCAGGGAGGGGAGACGGGATTCTGACGTGGTCAATGGGCTTGATTATTCTGCATTTCCATGTACCTTCATTGCTACAAAATAGATGGGTGATATTTGCATGTGAAGTTCAACAGGGAGAGACATTGGGTATCATTTTCTTTGCTGCTTTTTAGATCAATGAAGTATGAAATCGGAATCCCGGCTTTGGTGAATAAAGCTCTGAAAAGTGTTTTGGCTTGGTTTCCGCTGGTATCAGTGAGCTAGCACTTGTCATAATGTATATTCTGTAATTACCGAGCCATCGAGCAGTTAAAATTAATTTTCACCAGCAAATAATCTTCTAATTGTGCCGCCGGCAAATGAGGTTTGAAGTGAAACCTGGTGATACATTAACCATCCTGGAGCTGTGCTCAAAATAATGGCTGTGAAACGGTACAGTGACAAGACCAACACCGTAAAAATCTATCAAATCCAGTCATTATTCAAACATTTCCTGCATTTTCTGGAATAAATTAATTTGAGATGAAGAACGTAATTTTTTCTCTATAAAACAAAATGTTACAGGCTAATGATTACTTTTCAAAAGAAAAAAAAGTCCCATAAAGGCTAGAATTAATTCTTTTGTGGAGAAAGCCATATTCAAAACAAAATCTAAAGCAGGGCAGTGTGTGTGTGTGTGTGTGTGTGTGTGTGTGTGTGTGTGTGTATGTATGTGTGTGTTTGGGGGAGACCCCAAAGAATCTGGACTCTGGTAGGAATGCTGTCCTACTTACCTTATGAGTTTGTCGTTGAGACAAAGGAAAAGTGCTGTTTAGATCAAACTCTCCGAGTCCCTCTGCACCCCAATCCTTCCTCCTAACCTCCTGAGCACCCGTGTGTGCCCTGGGGACTCGTGGACAGCAGGACCAGGAGGAGCGGGCGTGGAGAGGCAGCTGTGCCAGGGGAAGAGGAATGTGGTCTCAGAGCCAGAAGACCTGGGTTTATCCGAATCCTGGCCTTTCCTATCTGAGTAACATTTAGCAAATTAAATAACGTCTCTGAGACTCAGTTTCCTCATCAATAAAATGGGGTTAGTAATATCTACTCCAGTGTGGTGGGATGGGAATTAAATGGATGCAGTACTAACATGCCTGACACTGATGCTAGTGGCTGGCCTCTTCCTTTCCTCGATTCTCTGGAAGCAGCAAGGAGGGACGTTACGTTGCACATTAACGTCCAGTCTCCGCTTCAAATAGCTGCTCCCCGCGCCACCCCCAAGGAAACCTCTGGCCAACCAGGAAACTCCAAGCGCCTGGTTTAAAGACTCCAGTCCATTGCATGTCTGAGGAATTGCTTGTTCCTCTTTCTGTTCTATTTACATGTTCTTCGGGATGCAACGTTGAAACAATAAATAACACTTTGTGTTTTTGTGGGATCTTTCCATGCCTTAATTTTTCCATATTTATTTTAACTTTTTGTTTCCACTGATAATAAATTGTCTTATTTGGAGGATTAATGTTCATAATAAAATATGGAATTTGGGGACTGAAAACTCGTTCAGCGTACTATTTGAAGACTAGAAGAGTTCAAAGAAGGGCCTGTGAGCTGAAGTGACAAATGGGAGACCTGCGGGCTGCACTCAGCCAGCAGGCACGTTTTGTTTAGTTCACACAGTTTTCAAAGATTTGAATTGGTTGCAACATTTTATAACGGGGGAGTTCATGCAATAATGAGAAATTTTGGTTTCTATTGGAAAAAAGTAGAGGATTTGATTGTTCAAAAGGACTTGGTTTTAGTTGCCTCTACTAGCACACGAAAACAGTGCCCTGGGGCTACGAAGCTCCTGCATCTTAGTTGGGAAGCACTCTCCCACTAGCCACAGACCCCACCATTCCCTAATATTGCCCTTGGCAAGAGTCATCATTTATTTGCATGGCCTTTGTAGGCTTCTGAGCTTATGACCCCTGACCCTGTATTGAATAATTCTTAAATTTCTTTTTCCTTCCATCTACTGACTCTCAGTCAATCCCTCTCTGAATATTGCTAAAATCATCAAAAACAACAATATCAAATATATAGATATATATATATATTTAAATCAAGATGAATCCTTAACACATATAAATCTTCAGGTATTATTTATTATCATTAAACTATTTTTTCTATTTTTGAGGCATATAGAAGGCTTTCCAAAAGTCCCCTAGGGTCAAAAATTGCATTAATGGGGCTCATACACATTTTGTTCTGATGACTCTGTTTTTCAGTGTTCTTTTAGGCGGAATGGGTACAATGATGAAATTCTATGAGACAGGAGGGAACGGTGGAGGTGACAAGGAGCTGGCCGACAAACTCTACGCTGACTTTGGCCAGTTGTGGGACCCTGGATGCACTCACAATTCTGGGCCTTTAGTGACCTGATAAAAAAGGGAGTTGAATTAGATGATCTCTCAGGTCCCTCTTTGATCAATACGTTGAATGAGGGACAACAATGCCATTTAAGAGACTGTCTCCCCCGGGTGACAACAGTGGTAGCCAGTGTGAAAATTGTCCTACAATGACATTGCTATTACATATTGATTATTGATGTGATCCTAGCATATCCTGTGCTCTTGATGTTAGTTTTCAGTTGCTGCGGAGTTGTGAGTTCTAATGCTGAAAAGGAGTAGTCTCTGAAGAGGCTCAAGTTTTCTGTCTAAATATTTACCTTCTAATTAAGATTTCCTTTCTTCTTTTGCAGTTATATTCATATAGTTCCCAGAAAACCTGCAAAGATGAGAAAGTTGAAGGAAGTAAGTGTTCACTGCTAACTACTGAAGATGGGATAAATTGGATGACTTGGTAAAAATTTAAATATCAATATTGAATAATTGAAGTTTTACAAAAACAGCATTTTTATAGGCAACTGCCTGAAAAGGCATGTTTCCTCCTGAAGCCAGAATTCCCTGTGCGAGCTTGACGTACCTGTCAAAGCATCAACGGAAGTAAGATGATGGAAGTCATTAAGAATAGTCTGAGACATGGTTAGGGAGATAGTCATCTCTGAGATGCACTGCGCAATTATTTATTAAAACTTTTCACTTTCTTTTGCTTTTTGGGTTTAGAAAGATGGGTGTCAGGAAAAGTTACTTTAGGTTATACAAGGTTGCAGCTAATTATGATGCTGAATTTGAAGATTGCCCCATGTGCACCTATCAGTTTTGCACTTAGTAGACATTTGAAAGGTCTGCAGGGTGGGGACCTTGCGTGGCTCTGTTCACATCACTTGATTCTTAGCGCCCCCTCCCCAAATTTAATGTATAAGTTAAAAGAGATCCACTTTTTAAAATAAGCAATAAAAATCGCCAGGTTTTAAGTGAGAAAGCCTATTGATATTTAGGATGTAACATGAGTTTTACTTTAAAAAAAAACCAGACTTGTCATTTTGTGGAGTGTTTCAAAGGTGAGATGCTTTTAGAGCATCTACTTCTCTAAGTGGTGGTTTTGCTATTCTTGAGTTTTCTTCTCTGTAAAATGGAGGTGAGAATCTTCGCCTTCAAGGATTGTTGTGAGAGTCAAATGACGAGCTATAGATAATGTACCAGCACCAGATAAATGTTGGTTCTCTTCCCCCACATGTTAAAGAAGTGGGACTTCTCTGTGTCCTTGAATCACCACCCAGTGTTCCAGCAAAGGACATTCTAGTCGCTTGAGATGACCACAAGCACTGGGCTGCAGAGGCATCAGTTGCCTCCTTCGCATGTGCACTTCGAGGCAGTGTGGTGAATCAAGTCAAATTTCTTACTTACTCACCTTACGTTGTAACTTGCCAGGGGCAGGAGGGCAAGAATCCAACGAGAAAGCAATTCTGGCCATCACTGAATTTCAGGGTTCCCTTACTAAAGAAAGTAGGAATGGTAGATGATTATTCTTAACGTCTACGTGCCTGCCTTCCCCTCACCAGGTGGGACGGGGAGTGGGTTGAAGCCACAAATCTGAAAAGTACCCCTCCACAGCATCTGTTGGAGTTTGAGTCCATGTTTATTCTTTGTACATTTCGGTGATTTAAAAAATAAGACACGGTTAGAAGGTAGCATTTAGCATTTTAGGACAGGAAGGAAACTTCCAGATTTTGACCAACGTCTTTGCTTTCTAGTTGAGGACGCTTTGATCAGAGAGGTCTAGGTGACATACCCAATGGCAAACAAGCATGCCAGAATTTAAACACCCATGGGAGCCTTATCCTCTTCACGTTGGCCCAAGATTGCTGTGTGCTCCCAAAAATGAGACTCTAGGCGCCCAAAGGGTTTTGTAGTTTTTCTTTTGGAATTTACGCCTTTTTCATTTCAAAAATATGACTATCAAAGTAGTTCTTGTTGAGTAAAATGTCAATAAAGCTGGACAGAAAAGCTCAGTGAAGAGAATGGAAATCCCCACAATCCAACCTCCCAAACTCACCACTTCAGTGCTCCCTGCCTTTTGTCATGTCCACTCCCAGTTGTTTTTCTACGCACAGAAGCAAATATATACACAGAGACACACATGCGTATGTGTACATATATGTACATATTCGCAGAAACGGAATCCATCAATACATACTATTTTTCTGTCTGCTTTTTATTAACTGTGTATCACGACAGTTTCTCATATAATAAATGATCTTCTGCAACATGATTTTTATTGGCTGTAGAATATTCCATCATGTGAACCTATCATCCTGATTTAACCTGTTCCCCATCAGCAGACTTGACGTCATTCTGCCTCTTCATTCTGGTAAACGGTGATCTAACGGGTTCCTCATAGAGACGTCTTTGCTCACAGTCATGACTGTTTATAGAGAAGTGGAATTCCATGCACATTTTAGCCTCTTTAATATTCACTTCTGGAAAGTTTCTAATAACACATACTGCTTAGAATGGAGTGTGACAACACCCATGACTCCCTGTGGGTGGGGTAGGGCTGAGCAGGATGACGTGCGTTGTGCTTGGCCTGCGAGGTGCTAGGTGCCCTCTCCTTTTGTGGGAGAAGTCACTCCATAAAAATGGGTTGTGGTTATTGTGGTTTGACTTGTGAATTTTTGTCTTGGAGGGAGTATAGTGTTTTCATGGATATGCGTCTGGGGTGCAGCCAACACTGAAGGAGTTGGGGCCGCCACCAAGAGCTTTGATGGGAAGTCAAGATTTGGTCCAAGAAATCTGCTGTTCCAGTGAGGGACCCATAAGATAGCCTGAAATTAGCATCTGTGTCCTGCTGTCCCGTACGAGGACATAGAGTGACCAGTCACAGGCGGAGGTTTGTCAGTCACTCGAGTGGGTTCTTCTCTCTCTTGTCACTTGTAACTACCTACACTCATTCTCTTTTGTCACCTCTTCTTACTCACCGCTGCTTACGAGAAACCACATTTTGCCTGCTCCGTGGTTTGAGGGAAAATACCCGTGATTCCGAGGTTATAGATTTAATGGGCTAAAAGACTTGCCTCTTATTGATTTGTTTCAATCGTTTACCTTGTTCTAGGAAAAGAAATGCTCTGATGAGATGTCATATGCTCAGTGCTAGCACTTTATGGGAGCAAGCGCTCTATGCTATTGAATGTGTGTGTGCCTGTTCTCTTAGCCGGGCTCCGTATGTCCCCATGTCCCTTTGTGCGTTGGAAAGTCACTCTGGTCCTCGCTGTGCTTCATCGTTATGTTTGGTCTTTCTCATCTTGCTTCTTATTGTAACATGGAATGCCTATAGTTTGTGTTCTCAGGTTTCCACATCCATAGTCTCATCTGGGAAATGGAAAGATAGGCACCAGGTGAGGTAGAACAGGTCAGAATACCTGCCATTTAAAGGAAGAATAAAGAGTTCAAGAAAGGTAGCTAGTTCGTAATGGGACTTGGACTGAAACCACGTATTCCAGAGATGATTGCAGGGTTTCCCCCACTCTCTCCCCAGGGAAAGACCATCACTGCATTGTACAACCTATCAGTATGAAATGAGTTTCTTCTTTTTAGTTCCTAGAGTTAAGTAGGTCTATGAATTATTTCTGAGGGGCATTTAAGCACTTGCCTTACAGGGAGAGAAGCACTGTGTGCAGTGGGGGCGAGGGCCAACCCCACAAGGTCACGCAGTAAAGGCACGAAGCAGGCTCTGCAGGGAGACCGAGAAGCAGAGGTCAGCACGATGGGGCCTGTGAGTCTCCAGGGTTTGTGCAGAGGGCCGAGGGCAGCGGCCGCCTGTAGGATGAGCTGCAGAGGGCCCGGCCCCAGTGCTGCCCCGCCTCTCTCTAGGGTGAGTGGAGAACAGCTCTGTGAGCAGGGCAAAGCTGTGTGAGACCCGGTGCCCAGGGCCAAGGGAGCTTCCAGCCTGGGACCAAAAGCTCCTGGAGGCCTTGTCGGGTGTCGAGGCCACGCACAGCCCTTCCTGCACCTGCTCCAGCACTCACTCGGGACAGCCCTGAGTCTGTTCGCACATGGGGCTTAAGGATGTTTATAGCAGCATTTTAAATTTTTTTATAATTACGAAAATGTGGGAACAACTTGACTGCCCATCCATAGAGGAATGGTTGAATGATTCATGACGCGTCATACTGTGACGAGATTGATAGGTATTGATCTGAAATAGCATCTCTCCGAATGTTGTTGGGATTAACTGAGACGATCTACGTCAAACATTCAGCACGTGCCTGGCATGTAGCAAGAGCTCCACACATAGTTGACATTGTTATTACTCATAACGTCTTTAAGTTGGAGTGGCTCAGCCTGTCCAAATTTGAGATCCATGAAGGCCTACCGATTTGGATACCAGTGCAAACTGTTAGAAAAGTTAAATAAAGTACATTGTAAGCTTTGGCTAGGTCCAAAAATTCAACGTTTAAATGTTTTACTAAGTTATTTTGCCTTATTTTATGATATGGTAACACAGAATGGAACTACCTAGCTTTCTGTAGGTTATTCTTTCACAGAATTTCTGTTTTGGTCAAAATATATTAGTGGGAAAATTGACAAAACTTCTCAAGAGGCCTTGATTTAGTATAGAAATTTACTGACAATTAATTGAATACCATAAGGTACACTGAATGTAACCATGGAAATGATTTATAAAATACCTCAATATAATGAATTTGAAATTATGTTTCATTAAATGGAGGAAAATTATACTCAAAATAGAAGCTCTTGGGATCTTGGCTTTCAAAGACCGAGTCTTAACGGCTTTAACAGGAAAAATGCCCTCGGTCTCCCTTTAATTCAAGGACTTCTATTGTAGCTCTTAGAGCTCTGGTTTGTAATGTCAGATTGTATTGATTTAGGCAGAATTTAGAAGACCTCTCCAGTCCTTTTCTCTGCATTTCTGGGAAGCAATGAGCCCCAGTCTAATATTCTCCCATGAGAGCTCCGTTCTGGGTGTGCCCTTTCGGGGCTGCCTACGTGAGAGCAGCCGCGCCGTTAACGAAGACCTTCTTTGCCTCAAGTTTTCGTGGAAGAGAAGGAGCTCATTCACCGAGGGGAATTTTCCAGAGAACTGCAGCTCCCAATGAGTCTAACATAAAGAATGTTTTAAAATTAACTTTTCATATAAATTTTAGTAAAGTGTTTTATGTGAGTCCCCACCTTATTGCAAAGCATGGGGAATGAAATTTAACTTCATCTCGATCTCTCAGGGTTAGGCCGAGGTCCTTCCGACCGACAGCCAGCACTAAATGCCACCAACTTTCTCTTAGTGGTCTTGCCACTGGGGCTCCGTGTTTGTTGTTGAACTGTCCTGAACACGTTTTTGGAAGCTTCTGTTTCTGTTGAAAAAATACTATATAATTCATGTTCATTGTACAGAA